AGCAGAGTAGAGAGGGACAATCACCTCCCTATCCCTGCTGAGTCACCTGAGGCGAGCAATGAGTCAGCCCTGGGAGCACAGGTGAAAGCAATTCACCTGTGCTGCAGGAAGGGGTGGAGCCTGGCTCTACCTCTCCTAGACCCATTTAAGAGCTGACTAGCAGGGGGGAAGGAGCTCTCTCTTTGGAAAATCCACTCCAGTGGAGTTTTCTGAGTGAGCCCATGACATGGGTAAGCCTCCTATTTATTCTCTTTGTCTTGCTGTGCCTAACTCTCTTGCTTATTTCATTATTATAACATCTTAATATTATTAAATTATATAATATTGCTTTATATAATTTTCATTGATTATCCAGTGTTAAATAGGCAAGTCTTCTGAACTTCTTTCTGGAAGTATCTGAACTTTATGTGGTGTAGGAAAAAAAGAAGAAATTTTAATTAGCATGGATATAGAAGCCAAGAATGAGTGGGCTATAGCACATTTTCTCATTAAGAAAATGAGCTATGGTATGCTTATTTCTTAGACTTACAGAACTTTATGCAATATTACTTCCTTTGTTATCCATTCGCCAACTTAATATCAAGTTATTTGTCACCTATATGCAGAAGACACTCATGACACGGGTTTTTGAGGTGTGCATAGAAAACTTAGTAAGTTCCCTTGAACACTGAAAAGGGAACTTTCAATGCAGAGAAGAAAGTCTAAAAAGAAAAGCTTAAAAGGATGAAATATTTAACAGTTCCCTTTGACTTTCAAACAAAATGTAAAACCATAAAATTTGTAGTCATTACTGTCTTTCAGGAGAATAGTAGTAGAACAGCTCTGAATGACTGATTTATAATCTCTCTTGAGTTTAACCTAAAAGTGGCCAAGTTATAAAATTGGTTGGACTTCAGAGAGGAATATGATTTGGAATATGGTACTGTTAGTATTGAGGTATTAACTGTATGCCACTTTGATAGTTTAATAGAAGATCTATCACTTATATCCTTCTGGAAAAAGGGTTGTTGTTCAAGCAAATTCTGACTTAATTTAGCAATTTAAGATGCAGTTATATGGTTTATCTTATTAAGGAGAAGAGACTGGATTAATATAGTGTTCCTTTACTTTTCCTAAATTTCAAATTTGATTCTTTGTCTGAGATTCAAGGCTATTTGTCAAAAAAAACTACTCCACTGTAGATTAGATGGCTTTCTGAAGTGCAAGCAGGGCATTTTTTTTATGTGATTATTAAAATCCATGTTTCCTCAAACATCCTTGAAAATTAGTATGTCTCATGGGGCTTCAAGTTGAGGCAGGTCTAAATCCTAGTGATCTGGCATCACTTCAGTTTTTTAGATTCCATTTTGATCATTTCACTTATTGAGAGTCAGCTATTTTATAGTGTTACACAAGTAGGGCTCAGACTGTCTATAACTCTTTGAAAAGTATCTCAACTTCTTGAGGGTTTATTTAATCATTAATGATTCATATTATTCTTCAAGGGAATCCTTGTTTCCCATGTTAACAAAGAACTTTGAACTGATGCTAATTAATATAGCAAAGACAACATATTATGACCTGAATTTGGTTAAAGTCTGAAGGCTTCGTAAGCAGTGTGTTAAAAGAAATGAGTTACTGGGGCGGACATGCTGTGATGATGCACACTGTGCAGAATATATCACTTGTGGCTTCAAGACTGTGTTAAAAGTTATTGAAAGCCTGGTCAAGGTGAAAACGAGTACTAGAGAAGTATTTACTGAAATAAGAATATCTTCATAGCATTTTATGTATGTTACACGTACGTGTTTTATTAACATATACTATTTTTTAATCTTTGTATGTATATTATATATATCTACATAAATACACAAAATTTCATTTTAATTAATCTTCTGAAGCAATACTTTTCCACAGAGCAATACACTAATGGTCTGTAAGTAGACTGCTCTGTTGCTGCCTGTTATGCAGCTAATAGGTGGTTTGGCTGCGCAGTCTTCTGTGTACCACAGTTGTTTTCTCTGTGCTTGGGCTGTCTTGTAATTGCCAGAACTCAGTTGACTGAGAGGCTTCATCCAAGATTTTCCTAAAAAAAAAAAAAAGGTGAATTATCCCAGGTGCACTTAAGGATACAATGCCAAGTCTTCTATCACAATTTGCAGTCATTAAGTTTAACAGGCAGGCAGATACCTGTACATCTTAATACTAAATATTAGATACATCCAAAAAGAAAAACTTAACATGAACCAGCAGTGTTGCAGTCCAGAAGGCCAACAGTATCCCTGGATGCATTAAAGGAAAGGTGAACTTCAGGGGGAGAAAAGGGATTGTCCCCCCTTTGATCTGCCCCTGTGAGGCCCATCTGGAATATTGTCTCCAGGCCTGGGGCCCCAGCACAAGAAGTTGTGGAGCTCTTGGAGTGGAAGTGGATCCAGATGAATGCCACAGCGATGATCAAAGGGCTGGAGTAGCTCTCCTATGAAAAAGGCTGAGGGTGTGATTCTATGAAAACTGGAACTTACACATTTGGATTTCTAGTTCTAAGAATCTCTGAAGCATATGACTAGGAATTATCGTAATTGAACAAATTTAGTGATGTTTTTCCTTGATATGTTCCTGATTGGTCTTTTGAAACGGCTCTAGTGCTAACTTTTTGAAAGGCTTATACTGTATTTAATATTAGAAGCTAATAGTTAATGTTATTAGATTGTTAGCAAAATGAACTATACATTTCAGTTTAGGAAAGCAAATGCTCCCAGGATAAATATTGTTTCTGTTAAAGCCCATTCATGTGACCCTTTGTTGTATGAAGTACTTGTTATGCCTTAAAGGAGGAGGAACAGATAAAAATGTTCACTGTGTCTATCTCATCTATGATGAAAAGCAGAGGCAAAAGCTAAATAGTGCTGAATTCATTTGCAGCGTTTTCTGTGTCTCTATGGAGTATTCTTAATGCCATGATAGCTCAGTTTCAGCAAGGTGATAGGTCAGATGAGAATATTATTCTTTATAAAAATAAAGACCCAAGTGCATGATCTTAAGGAAAGGCTGTTAGCATATTATAATTAGTTAAAAACAACAAATAAATATCTTCTTAATACCATAAAGAGGAACTTTTTTCCACCAGGAAGTGTGAAAGAATAGCTTAAAGAAAGAAAAAGACTTAAATTCTGTTATTTTTTACCTCCACTGCTTCCCTTCATAAAGGAAAAACTGTATTGATCATTGGCGTTCTTCTCTCAAGAGATGCTTGAAATGACTGTGTCCTTGCTATCACTTCTAATTTGATGTCTAATTAAAAGCCACATATTCATTCTTTACTTGCTTCTATTTACAATAGTTTTAGTGGTCAGCATCCAGCACATTAAAGTTCTTCATATTTCAAAAAACTAATGAGAAAAAAAAGAACAATTAAGCTTTAAAAAAAAAAAATCAACACTTGCCCTCTGAGAAACAGTGACAAAAATAAGTGGGAATATCTGCAAGAAGTGGAATAGTAGAACTTCAAATTAAATGAATTTGGATAAATTGGTACTATGCCCATGATGCTTCATTAATAGAAAATATAAACAAGCACTTCCACTGTTTTTCCAGAGTCTTTTCAGGTCAAATATTGCCACCCATCACCGCATACCTTGCATTGGATAAATGTGACAAGATATGGTTGAGGTTCAATAAGGCCAAGTGCAGTGTGCTGCACTTGGGTCAGGGCAATCCCAGGTATTTATACAAACTGGGGGAAGATCTCCTTGAGAGCAGCCCTGTGGAGAAGGACTTGGAGGTTCTGGTGGATGAGAAGCTGGACATGAGCCAGTAGTGCGTGGTTGCAGCCTGGAAGGCTAACTGTATTCTGGGCTGCATTAAAAAAGGGGTGGCCAGCTGGGAGAGGGAGGTGATTTTCCCCCTCTACTTGGCTCTTGTGAGGCCCCATCCAGAGTACTGTGTCAAGGTCTGGGGCCCCCAGTATAGGAAGGATGTGGAGCTCTTGGAGTGGGTCCAGAGGAGAACCACTAAGATGATCAGAGGGCTGGAGCACTTCTCCTATGAAGAAAGATTGAGGGAACAGGATTTCTTTCTCTTAGAGAAGAGAAGGCTCCAGGGTGACCTCACTGAGGCCTTCCAGTACTTGAAGGAAGCGTATAAACAGGAGGGGCAATGGCTGTTTACAAGGGTGGATAGTGATAGGACAAGGGGGAGTGGTTTTTAACTGAGACAGAGGACGTTTAGGTTAGATATTAGGAGGAAGTTTTTCACACAGAGAGTGGTGACGCACTGGAATGCGTTGCCTAAGGAGGTTGTGGATGCCCCATCCCTGGAGGCATTCAAGGCTAAGCTGGATATGGCTCTGGGCAGCCTGGTCTAGTGGTTGGTGACCTTGCACATAGCGAGGGGTTGAAACTAGATGATCAGGCCATTCTCTGATTCTATGATTCCATGATTTAGGCAGCAGTGGGTCTGCATGTATTAGTCGGTGAGAAGGAAGCAGAAGCTGTCTCATTTTCCTTTTCTGTCTGTGTAAATAGTTTTTATCTCAACCCACAAGTTCTATTTTGTTTCCAGTTCTCTCCCTCACTCCATCTGGGGTGGGGATTGAGCTAATGGCTGTGTGGTGTTCAGATGACTGCTGGGTTAAACCACAACAGTCCTTTCAGTACGCAACATGAGGCCATTCTCCCCAGCAGCAGTGTAGAGCACATTTTTTACAACTTAAGTCTGCTGTGTTGCCCCTCACAATGATGACATCAATATATTGCAGGTGTCCAGGTGCTTTCCCCTGTTTTAATCTAGTCTGGATCAGCCTTTGGCAAATTATAGGACTGTGTATTCACTCCCTGGGGCAGTCAATTCCAGGTGTACTGGACAGCCCTCCCAAATGAAAGCCTGTGGTCTGCACTCTGCTTCCAGAGGGATTGAGAAAAATGCTTTGGCAATATTAGTTGTGGCACACCACTAGGAGCCTCTGGTAGAAAGCACCAGGGAAGACTTTGTGCTAGGGTTTTGGAGTTGGGAATACAACAAAGTCCATATATATATATATATATAAGATATAATGTCACCATATGAAGGGATTCCAGCTGGTTCAGAAGTGGCTGGTACCAAAGCACAGCTTCACTTGGCACAATGAATGCCTGCGCTGGCCTGGATGTTCAAAGGGAGGGTCCCTTTCACGCATCGTACAACTGACTCTAACATGAAGTGGTTTGCACTTGTGGATTACACAATGAGCTTGAATAGGAAACCCCAGTTGCCCAGGAATCTTGCAAGTGATCATAGACTGGCTTGAAGGCAAAGATTTTGGAATACCGCCAGAGGAGGAAGTGACAAGTTCTAAAAGGGTTGCATTGACTACTGACCAAACTACCAATGAGTAAAGAGAAATATGCCCTGTTTACTGATGGGTCCTGTCTTATTGTGGGAAAGCTTAAGAGCTGGAAGGCTACTGTCTGGAGTCTGATATAAGTTATAGAAGCTGCTGAATGAGAAGGTGAATCAAGCCAATTTGCGGGAATGAAGGATATCCAGCTGGTTTTAGATATGCTTTCCTGTGTAACCTACTGTGGAGTACCTGTTTCAGCTTAGAGATTGTACTAGATAACCTCCAGAGGTCCCTACAGTTCTGTGATTCTGTAATCCAAACAACCGGCAGGTGGATCAGGCTGCTACAATTGAAGTGGTTTAGGTAGATCTGGACTGACAGTATAAGGGTGAATTGTTTCTACATTTATGGCCTCACAATGCTATCAAGAATGTGAAGCAACCTATAGACGGGCTTTGGATTGAGAGGCGGACTTGACCATGGATGCCACTGCATGTGTTATCAATGAATGTAAAATATGTGCTGTGACTAAGTGAGCCAAATGGATAAAGCCTCTTTGGAATCAAGAATGATAGCTGAAATATAAGTATGGGGAGGCATGACAGGTTGATTCTATCACACTTCCACAAACACCACAGCAAGCACCATGTGTTTACAGTATGGAAACAAACATCAAATGACTGGAAACATATCCTATATCCCATGCCACCACCTAAAACACTATGCTGGGCCTTGAGAAAGCTAGTCTTGTGGTGATATGACACTCCAGGAAGAACTGAATCAGACAACGGGACTCATGTTCAAAATAACCTTATAAACACCTGGGCCAAAGAGCACAGCACTGAGTAGGTATATCACATCTGCTATCATGCACCAGACTCTGGAAAAACTGAACTACTTAACTGCTAAAAAATACTCTGAGAGCAAATAGATTCTGGGACATTTAAACACTCGGACACACATTTAGAGTGGTAGCTAAAGCTACCAGGGATCTGCCAAACAAGCTGTCCCTGTTCAGTGGAAACTCTTACATACTACAGAAGATAAAGTCCCTGTAATACAAATGAAAAACATGGTGGATAGGACGCTCTGGGTTATTCTTGCCTCAGACAAAGGCAATCCCATGTGTGGATTTGCTTACTCAACGTGAGAAACACACTCAAGATAGGAATTTCTAATCAGGCAAAGATCTTTGTGGAGAGCAATTTATTCATTATTGCAATAATGGGCGCACGCCCCCTACTGACAGAGGAGAAACTGTGCGCTTGGTCAGTGAAATCCATTCCGTTATGTGCCCAGGGTCCGAAGCAGGAGATGCCTCTCCTGGTGCTTATTGGTTGAGCGTCTCAGGCTCACAATCTTACGGCACTGCTACGTTACATTTCTATACAGTGTCAGTTACCTAAACCGACTGTCTTTAGGTATGTTCTGTACTTTTTATGGCTATAGGAGGACACTTATTTTCAAAAATTAGCACGCTAGTTCTGTCCTGTACCAGATTCTCTCCTACCGTATATAATCATCTTGCCTAGTACCTATGCCAATTCTGCCCAGGTCAGAACGCCCCAGTCTCAACCTTACTCCGTTCAGGAGCTTTCTTTGTGAAAGGCAACAACTTATCCTATGCTACATACAGAAATACTGGAAATTTCCACTGCAAAAGCGCAATCTACCTCACTCTCGAAAACCTTGGTGCGCTTGGTAGGTAATGCAGAAGGATGGAGATATACGGTGTGTAACTCAAGGGGCCTTGATGTTGGGTGAGAACGGCCAATAACCAATATTTAACCAGTTAAGTATAATCCAGATGATTAAACAAAAATGAATTCTGACATTTTTCTTTAAACCAGAACTGGCTCCAGCATGAAACAATCCATTGCTATGCATCTTCTCTTCTGCCCTGAAGAATCATTATGACAGACAAAGCCCAAGTCATGGACTAAATTAATTCCATAGACAATTTGAAGGAATGGCCCATAGACTACAAAAATGTTCTCTGTGTAATTAATCAGAATGTAAGGCAAAGTGAAATACCTGAGCATGATGCAAATGGTACAGAATAATAGGTGGATATCGTCCTGGTTTCAGCCGAGACAGTGCTAATAGGAAGCTATTCCTGCTGTTGATGAGCAATAAAAACACACTTAGTACTGAGGCAAACCAAGCACCCCAGCGGAGAAGAGTTGCTGCGTTTGTGGCATTGCAGCAGGGGGCAGGGCAGAGGCAGAGCCAGGACAGTTGTTCTAAGTCAGGCAAGGGGTTATTCTGTGACGTTATAAGGAAGGTCACCAAGCTGTGTAGCGTTGGCTGGTAGAGAGCCTGCTACGTGGGGATTGGCTGTCTGTTGTTTGGCAGTTTGGTGAGTAATTGCTTTGAGGATATTTGTATATAGTTAAAGTCATGTTTTTGTTTTCCTTTTCTGTCTTAGTAAATAATCTTTATCTCAACCTACAAGTTCTATTACATTTCTAATTCTCTCCCTCATCCTACTTGCTGGGTAGGAGTTGAGCAAGCAGCTGTGTGGTGCTTAAATATCTTCCAGATTATCACAACAGTAAGCCTTACATTTCTTGATTATTCCTATCAATTCCAGTGACCAGCAGAGTTCACCTCAATTAGTGTGAGCAACTGAAGAGATTCTATTGTTCCTGAAAGCCAACATCTGGAATGTGTTTATTTTAAAGAATTTCACTTCAGACTAGTTTAAATAGTTGAATACCTGTGATCGTTAGATGTCCTTCTAGAGCATATCTGTCTGTTTGTTTATTCTGAAATTAAAGGGAAAGCTCAATATACAAGAACCTTGACATGATCTTTGATAACGTCCTCCATAGAGAAGTTGTTGAAGCATAGTACAAATGAGCAGGCACTGAAGTGGTTAAAAAAAAATCAGATGAATGTCCAGGCCCTGAGGATAGTGGTCAGTGGTGCAAAGTCTTGTTAGAGGCCAGTACTGAACAGACTACCCGGGAGTTCAGTCCTGTTTAACGTCTTTGTTAACAATCTGGATGATGGGATAGAGTGCACCCTCTGTAAAAACTTGCAGGTGATACAGAACTGGTAGGAGTGGCTGATTCACAAGAGATCTGCCTGCACAGCCATTCAGAGGATCCTGACAGACTGGAGGGATAGGCTGACAAAAATCTTGTGAAGTTCATAGGAAGAAGTGCAGAGCCCTACACCTGGGGGACACAGCTGGAAAGCAGCTCTGCAGAAAAAAACAGGGGTTCTTGGTGGACACGAAGTTGAATATGAGTTGGTAATGTGCGCTTTCTACTAGGGAAACTAATACTTCTCTTGGTTGCATTAGGCAAGGTATCATTAGCAGATCAAGAGATGTAATCCTTCTCCTTTGTTCAGCACTGGTGAGGCCACACCTGGAGTGCTACAACCAGTTCTGGGCCTCCCAGTACAGGAGAGACATAGATAGACTAGAGAACATCCAGCGGAGAGCCACGAAGATGAAGAAGGAACTGGAGCATTTCTCCTGTGAGGAGAGACTGAGAGAGTTGGGACTGTTAAGCTTAGAGAAGAGGAGGCTCAGGGGAAGTCTTATCAATGTCTGTGAACACATGATGGGAGTGTGCAAGGAGGACAATGTCATGCTACTTTCAGTCATGTTCAGTGCCAGAAAGAGGAAATAGGCACAACCTGAAATACAGGAGGTTCCATCTAGGAACTTCTTTATGAAACACTTTACTATGCTTGGGAGTTGGACCAGATGACCTCCAAGGCCCCTTCCAATCAACTATTCAGTGATTCTGTGGTAGGAAACTTGCTTAAAAACTTGCCGATCTAAATTCAGAATAGGTACAGCTCAACTTTGAGAATGAATCAAACTTTATAGTTTGCTTTCTGGTGTATTCTGTATCTCTATTTTTTTTGTGATATGAAGATAATAATTGCTGTTCTTACATACCATGGGTTAGTTTGCAAGATAATACCAAAAATAGCATTGTTCATAGGATATCGCAGAGGTGATATGATATTCTTCTCTCATCATTACCTAGGCAGTCTTAAAAGGCTTGAGCTTACCGCTGCAGAGACCCGTGCTCGTGTAATGACATTCTCCATGCTTTCTCATGTTTCACTTAACATTTGTTCTGTGGGCAATCTGATGTCTTTGATTACAGTGAAATTGTCATCTGTTTGAAGAGATGAATCTTTGCAACTGCAAATGGGCACTTACAAAAATACAAAATACCTCACTTTGATAGAAGACAGTAAAGTCTTTTACAGGTGAGGATGGTGAAGCACTAGAACTGGTTGCCCAGAGATGTGGCTCCATCCCTGGCGACTTTCAAGGCAAACCTAGATCAAGCCCTAGGCAACCTGATTTAGCTGTGCATATCCCTGTTCATTGCAGGGGAGTTGGACTAGACCTTTAAAGGTCCCTTCCAAGTCTAAGGATTCTTTGATTCTATGAAAGCTTTCTTTACTTGGTAGCTATGTACATATTAGATTATGAATGCAATTTTAACTGTATGAGTTTTCTTTTATTCATTCTATTATATTTTCAAGTGTTGTATTTTCTTCTTTTTCTCCTTTTAAGGGGAGTTCTCAAACACTCAGACTAAGGCTTTTTTTTTCCCTGTCAAATCTTTAAGTCTTCATTTGCAGTTAAAAATATAGAAACAAAAAAGTTATGCTGTTGAACTGATCCAACTATCCATCATCCCTCACAGTCAAATCTCACTATTTCAACTCTTACTTAACCAAATTCTTGTATTCTGTAAGCTTTATTGAATTAGTTTAGTACTAAGTAAAATTTTTATAACATTTTTGCAAAGTATCTAGCAGTCTGCATCCAATGACCTTGTTCTGTTAACAAGAGACAATAAATAAATATTAACAATGGATGTGGATCATGCATGGAAGACACTATTTGATACCTAAATATGCAGGAATGCTTTTTTAATGGGCAGATTTCTAAACATAATTGCTTCAGTGTTCTTACCTTATAGTTCTCTGAAGAAAGTTTATACTCTACTTCTGCTAGAGTCCCTTGAGTACCTTTTTCTTCTTTCAATTCCATCTGAATGGAAGGATTTACATACTGTTAATTTGTTGCTTGATTATTATTTTTTTTAAGCCTTTTGATTCTCCCTGAACAATACTTCTCAAAGTAAAGAATGGAAAGAGTACAAATTGGCAGAGGTTTGGGAATCTTCTTCCAAAAATTAGACTTCGCAATAAAAGAACATAATAGAATATTGCCCTCAGGGCATAATATTCAAAATGTCATTTACTAGCATTATAAATGAATTAATTCTTTAATTAGCAACATGAAGTGTAAGAAAGAAAAGATTACATGATTAGTAACATATGATGGAAATAAAGTATGATTTTTTTTTTTCTGAATCAATATTGTTGATATATGAAAATCTGGTACTATAAGCTGTTATTTTTCTTGGATTCTGCAGCTGCAGGCTGATTAAAGCCCAGCAGGAGGAACTATAATAAACAAATACCACCTGCTGCAAGAACAGGTGTTTGTATCTTCATTTAGAAACCAAAGTAAAACAGAAGATGCCAAAGGGCTGAAGTAGATCAGTATTTGGATTGACATAATTTGTTAGTACTTGTCCTTGAACTTAAAAGCATATTATTCTGTTTTCAAGACCTTGTGATAGGGGTGGAACATGTGCATACAGAATGCAGAAAGCTGCTTAATTACTTAAAGCACCTGTCCATTGTCCATACTACCTGCATTCACTGAAAGTAATTGTTTCTCCATTTACTGGAGTGCAATATAGTGTCTTTGTCTGACAACATTATAAATGCAAAAAAAAATGCATTTAGTATTTTATTTAATTTTACAAATCTTATTAGTGATTTGTTTGATATTTGTAGTCCAAGCAAATCTAGGACCTGTTCCTTGATGGATTGTACATGTTAGCTAAAGAATTTGCATGTGTTTAAAAAACATACCACAGTAGAAATACAAGTCAAGGCTTGAAGCAGTGATTGAACATCTGTTGGGAAGGCAAGGCCAACCCAGGGGAGCTCAGGTGCATGCAATACACCTAACTGACCAGAGGGTTGGAACCTCTTTGCAGACCTCATTTAAGTGTTGGCAGTGAAGGCAAGGGTATCTTGCTGGAGATCCCTGGGTATCTCATGCTGTTCAAGGTTAAGCAGCGTCATTTCTTTGTTCACAGTTGCTGCATTAGAGCATATCTTCACCTGCTCCAGTTTATGACTTTGCTATCATGCAAATTGCTATGCTTTCTGTCATGTTACAGCATTACATGTACAAAACATTCTGCTTCTGGTACTTATCTCAGTGACAATTCTAACGCACTGAAGCAAATGAGCATTTTTTCCCAAAGTGGTGAAAAATTTATTAACTGATTTTCTTTCATGTTAACCATATCTTGATTATGATTTTTAACATGCAGAATACTTTATTGATAATAGCTTAAGCAAAAAGTTAAGTCATAGTTAACAGAGTAGCCATTTTCTCATAAAATGTCAAGCTATGTATTTGTTCTTGCAAATACACTGAAAAATGTAGAAGAGCACATCCAGATGCTTGTGATATAGCTTTAAGGAAACCTAGAATAAATTAGTCTGACTGGATTCAGTCTGTCCCCAAAAAACTACCAGGCAGTGTCTTTCATACTACAAGAAGTCTCAAGCTATGTGGTAAAATGATTTTTCTCTTCTGATACTATAATTTATTGTGGATGGCTTTAACATATTTAATGGGTAGAGATAATACTTACAGTTAGCGGGGAAATAACTCTGAAGTAATAAGTAAAGTTTCTAAGGGTTAACTTTTTTTTTCCCCTCTTTTGCAAGAGACATCACACACAAGTAAGTTCTAGAATTCCCATAATATCTAAAGCAGATGTAAAGAGTTACTACTGAGAATAAAAGCAATAACACAAAGTCACTTAAATCTGCGAACTGCCAGAAGAATGGATTATAAAAAGGAGAAGCTGAGAATGGAAAGCTGTTGGGAAGATTTCTTATATTTAAGGTGTTAAAATTACTTTTCTGTCTTATTTAGCAAGCCTGCATAGACTGAATAGGAGCCAAAGCAGCAGCCTGCCGAAGGTAGGATTACCTGGCTTTTGCTTTTCTTTTGAATTTCTGACCGTCTAGATGCTTAATAATCTTGGAGTTAAGTGATGTTTAAATCATTTCTAGAACAATATCCTGAGAGACAGTAGATAGCTTAACTTATTTTCCACAAAGGCTATAGAGTGTGTTTGACAATAGGGTAACTGAATTTCTCTTGTGCTATGGGGTACTGAAGAAAAACATC